AAAGAAGAAAAGCATCTCTATCGCTCGACACGTAGACGCGTTCGAATAATTTCAATCGGTTGAGGTAAATCGATTCGGGCATTCGAGACGTCGCTTCGCGATCGAAGAGCAGAGGGAATTTTAACGAAGAAAGACCTGTTCCCAAAATTTCGTTTTCTAACGAGCTCTCAGAATTCCCATCCCCGTGGAAAAAGTGTAACTTAGTGAGATTATCAGACACTAGGGTTTCTCAAAGCCATATGAGTAACTATTATAAGTTTGCAGAAATTTTGGCGAAAAATTAGTTTTCATTTAGTCTATAAAATAATAATAAAATAATTGGTTTTTATATATATATATATATATGAATATAATTTTACCATGTATTAAAAACGAAATAAAAACCAATTATTTTATTATTTTATAGACTAAATGAAAACTAATTTTTCGCCGAAATTTATATATATATATATATATCAAGGAATTGTTTTCGAATAAATTTCCTTATGAGTTCACTTGCTCGAGTGAAGTGGAAAAGTTTTGAGATCGAGCAACTACGTTCGCCCCCGGGGAAATTGTTGGCAACGGAATTCGACGAATTATGCGAGCCAAATTACTCATCCGGATGGCTGAACGACGATCCTACCTCACCAACGATGAGATCAATATCGATACAACTCGTGGCTCGCTGAATTTGAATAAAAACCCGCTACGCGGTATGAAGCGCGGAAAGCTTGTTGTTGCACCTCTCCGCAGTTTTCATTTCCAAATCTCTTTTCGTTCGTCGAACGCGTAGAAATGAAGAAGAAAGAAAGAAAAGAGGAAAAAAGAGAGTGCAACGTGGGCACGCAACGACGAACGGGGTCCCCTTAAGAACGAAAGAACGAACGTTCGTTATCTGATTAATGAGCAAATAATTCATTAAACTGGCCACGGTATGTGTATCCTGCGGCGAAAGTTCAGTGCACCGGTGGAAGCTCGGCTGAATAATCAAGCGGCATAATACCGCTGGAAAAATTGTAGAACGATATGGTTGTACGGCCACGGATACGGAGCCGCGCTCGAGAAAGAACGTTTTTACGATTACATGGAAATTTATTCGCGTACACGTAATCCCCCGCACACACTGCAAATCGTTGCAAATGGTTGGCTCGACCATGGTGTTATATACGTAGACGTGGCTCGAAGCGCGCGAATCGCGATCCTCACGCACGGGCGACCGTGAGCGAGTTTCGTGAAAAGGCAAGCCAAGCCAGC